TATTCAACTCCAGCAAAAGAAGGTATGAACATCTATCCTTTTAATTACCATCTTAATATTCATGAAACCCTAATTCTAATGGCGAATCTATAACAATTTTTTTTTTAATATCCATAATATTTGCTTAATCATTAATAATGTGGTGTTTGGGTTATTTAGGGGGTGGTGTTACACTGTGGGTTTGGGTTTAGGGTGTAGGGTTTATATTGATGGGGTAGGGTTTAGTTTTTGGTGTATTTTAAAAAAACTTGAATTATTACAGAAGAATTTCATAATAAAAAAATCATTTATTTGAAATTTATATCTACTTTCAAAATTACATTCACAAATAGAAAAAAAAACTAAAACAACTAAAGAAAATCCAGAATTGAAAGATAACAAAACTAATAAATTTTTAAAAGACCTCAACTATATAAAGATAGAATCTATTTCAAAAATATTGAAAATTTTAACTATCGAAATGAATTGGTAGGTGATATGCAAGACACAAACAAGACATAATAGATACATAAGTAAAAGAAAAGAAAACAGTGAAAAAGAAGATGAAAAATTTAGAAAAGAAAAAGAAAAGTCGAACATGAGGAAAAAGAAAGGAAAGAAGAAATAATGGAATGTGAAGAAAATTCCAAAACAAATGAAGAATATTACGTAGAAGAACAAGAAAGAGAAGATAAAAATAAGACACCTCAAGATTACAAAAATAAGAAGTTTGCGAAAACAAAAACGATGAATACAATAAAAAGTTGTACTACTTATATTATTTAAATCTTTAATTAATAATTGTATTTAAAAAATATTGTACCCGCACAAGGTGCGGGACAACCACCTTGTTTTCCTTATTAACGCTTTAACCAGTAATTTTCTAGTGATTGGATTTCTTTTTCCTATTTTCAGATTGATTTCCTTTCTAAATAAGATATACTCTTACTATTTTATAAAGACAACAAATATAGAATAATGATAGTATATCTTTTAAATATATCTAAAACTGTTTTCACTTTTGGTAAATCCTAATTAAAAACAAATCCAACATATTATTAATTTTGTAAACAGTCAAACAATACTTTCTATATACTTAACAAACCAACATATACACGTACTTTTTTATTAACAGTCAGTACATTTACATGGACTGCACATTCATTTAGAATTTCAAGTCAACAAATTATAATAAGAATGTCTTAGCAACTAATATATTTTTTTTGGTTGACCAACAAAACAAAAAGGAATTATTTTGTTTTTAATAAGTAATGTAAATAAATGAAACCATATAGGGTTACAAAACTGTATCAAAACTTATTAATATTTTGAGTTGGTAAATTTGACCGAGAATATGGTACTTGCCGTTTTCATACTCCAATACACAATATATAAGCATCTAAACAAACCATATAGGGTTAGAAAACTGTATCAAAACTTATTCATAAACTTTTAATCACGAGCTAATCACGCAAAACAGGAGACATGGCGGCAGCAAAAACAACCATTTTCATTGTTTTTGTTCTTTATATCTCATGTTAGCTTCTCTCTATATATTGATTCAGTCAATCTAAAATGTGAGATTTATACTGATATGTGTTGACAATTGGTAGGCGCATTGTTGGTGGCCGGATCATGCTTTAGTCCAGCGGAGTGTGTAGTGATGTGTAAGGGTGGTTGTGCACAATGTGTAGACGGATATTGCGTTTGTGATAGTTTAAAAACCGAGATCGAGCCGACCAAAACAAAAACGTGCAAGACGGACCGTGATTGTCCTGTTTCTCATAAATGTGCTAAAGACTACTATTATGCTTGTCTTCATGGAAAATGTACTTGTATAGCAGTAAAAATTAATCTATTAGAAAAATTATATAATGTACTTCTTTGCAATTTTGTGAAGAAAATCTAAAATCCTAAACCTGAGCCCGACCCAAAAAACCCTAATCATTTTTTTTTAAACCCAAACGTTTTTAATATGTTTAAACCCAAAAATTCAAAATCCAAAAAATCCCGAAAACGCTGAACCGAATAAAAAAAACTCTAAATTTTTTGAACCGAAACACTCATCCGACTTAAAAACCCTAATCAAAATTTTAAAATACCCAAACTTTTTTAATATGTCAAAATCCGAAACCCGAAATCCAAAAAATCCGGAAAACCTTAAACTGAACCCTAAAAAACTCGAATTCAAACCAGAGAGAAATTTCCACAAAAACACGAACAATTTCTATATCTCTATATATCTATAAAATTAGGTATGAGATTTTCACCTAAACCCAAACTTGTTTAGAAAAACTCAAATCAAATCCGATTCAGAAATTTAAAATCTGTTGTCAAACACTTTCTCTTCATAATTAGATTGGTTTTTTGACATAAATTTTTCATATACTTCTCAATTATTAATATAAAAATGCATCTCTGATGATGGAATTTCAATGTTCATCAGGGCACAAAAACCGAAACCGAAAAACCTGAATCGAACCGAATTTGATAGTACTGAACCAAACCGAAAACGACACAAAACCCGAATGGTTTTTAAATTTCTACAACCAAAAAACCGGAACCGAACCCGAATCGAACCGAAAACTGAATGGATAACTGAAATATAATTATATGTATTTTAAAATAACCAAACTATCTAAAATAATAAATTTTTACTGAATATATTAGATATATTTAGAATCAAATAACAAAAAAAAAAAATATCCTAAATCATTTAACAATATATTAAATTCAATTTTTGCAAAATTTAATTTAATTTCATTTGAACTTTTTTATTATTGTTTTCTTATCCGTTTTGGACCCGAAACCGATCCGAGCCCGAGCGAACCAAACTGAAACCAAACCGAAAATTTAAAAAAAAAAAAACTGTTTTTATATTGCTAAATCCGAAATAACTGAAAACTGAAATAACCGGACCGAACCAAATAACAGGGCTAGTTCATTAGGTCACCACACTAAAGAAACAAACAAATTAGCAAGAAGAAAGAAAAACTTATTGGACTTGTGTTATCTGATATCTGTAGGCCCAACATTTAATTAATAGTTATAATTGGCAGTGGTTATCAAAGTTAATCCATTCAAACTAAAACCAATCTGGAATCAAATACGAGTTAAAATCTGGATCAAATCAGAAAACTTTTTGGTTTTTGGATATCGCCATGGTGTTGGGGAAATTTCAAAACTACACCTCTTGAGGTGCCAATTTTCAAAAATACACCTTTATGGTGTTCATTTTCAAGACTACACCCTTTTCATGGAGTAAAAGAACTCTAAACCTTAAAATATAAACCCAAAACCTTAAAATCTAACATTGAACCCTTAAATCTAAATTCTAACCCCCAAAATCTATAACCCTAATCTAGGATTAATGAACCCAAACATATATATTAAAATTAGGAAAAAGTATATTTTTGAAAGTTTCCACACTATAGGTGTAGTTTTGAAATTTTTTACCTCAAGTGGTGTATTTCTTAAAATTTCTCATGGTTTTGATGCTATCCCTTGTTTCTTGTTCCGTCTCCCTTTTCTCGCCGCCGATTAGTCTCCAGCTTCATTTCCCGCAGGTTACAGCTCTATGTTCCCATGAAAGCTTCCCTGTTTCTACATTTCGGACTGAGCTACAACCGTTGCTTGTCAGCGTCTTAAATCGCCGGGAAACAGGTCTCGGATTAACGTCGCAAGTCAAATAAGTATGTGAATTTAGAACTTCTCCGCCTATATTTGTATACATTTTTATTTCTTTGAAGCATGTTCGGCCCCTTACAAAATTGTTAAAAACTTAGCTTCTTTTTAAGACTAAAACAGAGAAACATATATAATCATTGATGTTTGGGGGACTCATGAATCTTTCAAGACGGTAGACTTTTAATGGTCAACAGTCAAACAATACTTTCTATCTACTTAACAAACCAACATACTGTTTACTTTTTTGTTAGCAGCCAGTACAATGACATCGACCGTACATTCACTTAGAATTTGTAGTCAACAAATTATAATAAGAATGTCGTAGCAACTAGTTTTTTTTTTATTGACCAACAAAACAAAAAGGAGTTATTTTGTTTTTAACAGAAGTAACTGTGAAATAATGAAGATATGTAAGTAATTAATAATTATTATAGATAACATGAGTTGGCAAATTTGACCGGGATATTGTTACTTGCCATAGTTACGGGATTGATATCCTCCACAATTTGTCCTAAAATTGCCATTTTCATGCTCCAAGACACAATATATAAGCAAACTGTAACGAAACTTATTCACAAAATTTTGAACCACGAGCAAATCACACAAAACAGAAGATATGGCGGCGGCAGCAAAAACAACCATTTTCATTGTTTTTGTTCTTTATATCTCATGTTAGCTTCTCTCTATACAATGATTCTGGTCGATTTAAAAACCCAACTTAAAATGTGAGATTTATACTGATATGTGTTGACAATTGGTAGGCACATTGTTGGTGAACGGAGCCCACACCTCATGCTTTGGTCCAGCAGATTGTGACGTGTTGTGTCAGGGTGGTCCTGCGGAATGTTTATACGGAGATTGCGTTTGTGACAGTCTAAAAACCGCGATTCAGCCTACAAAAACGAGAACGTGCAAAATGGACCGTGATTGTTTTGTTTCTCATAAATGTGCTAAAGACTATTATTATGCTTGTCTTCATGGAGAATATACTTGTATAGCAGTATAAATTAATCGATTAGATAAAAAAAATTTAACACATTTTTCTTCTTTCTATGCATCTCCGATAATGAATTCCACAAAACAAGTATACGACCATCACAAAATACTTTGTTGTTAACTAAAAAATAGTAAAATACTATGATTTTGTGGCACATCCAGAAGAAGAAAAACTTATTGGACTTGTTATCTCATATCTCTAGGCCCAATACGATTTAGTAGTTACAGTTGGCAGTGGTTTATCAAAGTTAATCCACAAACTAAGACCAATCTGGAATCAAATACGACCGTTAAATTTGGATCAAATCAGAAAACTTCTTTGGTTTTTGGATATCGCCATGGTGATGTTATCCCTTGTTTCTTGTTCCGTCTCCCTTTTCTCGCCGCCGATTAGTCTCCGGCTTCATCTCCCGCCGGTTACAGCTCTATCTTCCCACGGAAGCTTCCCTGTTTCTACATGTCCGACTGAGCTACAACCACTGCTTGTCAGCGGCTTAAATCGCCGGGAAACAGGTCTCGTTTTCCGATGTAATTGCCTTAGCTCTCCGATTAACGTCGCAAGTCAAATGGGTATGTGAATTTTGGTATTTGTATGCATGTTTTCTTTGAAGCATATTCGCAAACACTTGTCGTGCGTTTTTCATCAGCTGCTGTTTTCGCTATTCCGAGAGATTGGGTTTAACGAAGAAGAAACGGAGATGGTTCTGACGAAGAACCCAGATGTAAAGTCGACGTCTTTGGATAAGATCAGCGCTCGTCTCGCCCTCCTAGTTGAAACGCAGAAGCATACAGACTACAGAGGTAGAAAACAGGAACCTACGATGAATGTCCTTGCTATATGTAACTTCGATATGAAGTTTATATACCAGGCAAAGTATGAAGCACCCTTTCCACATCCCCCAATCGGAAAGTACTATTTGGTCGATTCTGGATATCCCACCAGGCACCAGGACAGGGTATATTGGTCCACATCGAAGGGTTAGATATCATCTTGACCAATTTGCAAGAGGAGGACAGCCTACAAACACACGAGAGTTTTTTAACCGGAGACATTCAAGTTTGTGTTCGGTGATTGAAAGAACATTTGGATTGTGGAAAGCAAAATGGAGGATTTTAGATCGTAAGCATCCTAAATACGGTTTGATAAAGTGGATTAAGCTTGTAACTGCGACGATGGCATTGCACAATTTCATACGGGATTCACATCGAGAAGATTTTGATTTTGTACATTGGCAAAGAATAGAAGAGTATCATGCTCATGGCGATGAAGAAAGTGAAGAATCTGATGATAGTAGTAGTGATCATGATGATCATAATGGACATGTTCTTTATGAGCCAACTTGTGATAGAGCGACATAAGATTTGCGTGACAGAATCAGAGAGGTTATTAGCAGAGGACGTCGATTGCCTTATTAAGGGCTTGATTGGAAGAGCAGTTTAGTGGGCATACTGCTTTTTAAAAGCCAATCATGTGTAATTAATTGAGCAGAAAAAAGAGCTGAGAATGCTTGTAACTGCCCGTGGCTCAATGCTCTCAAAATGAGCTTTTCAAAGAGCATTAAACATTGCTAAAAGTCATTAATACCCTTAATTCTTTAAAAAACAAATAAAAGCTATTAATAAAATTATGTCCACTTCTGTAATTTTGTATCTAACAGTCTCTACTCTTCCAATCACATATCATAAATTTACTCACTCTGTCCTATATTATAAGTAGTTGGGCAAAATGTATCTAAAAAAAAGTGGATGTATCTGGACTGAATTCCATCCGGATACATCCACTTTTTATCAGATACATTTTGCCCAACTGCTTATAATATGGGACAGAGGGAGTATTAACTAATAGCTTACAGCTCAATCTATTCTCAGCTTATGCTCCTCACAGCTACAGCCCCATTAAAAGCTATGCTAATCAGGGCCTAAATACTAGGGGATATCCCGGGCTACGCCTGAGGATTTTGTTATAATTTTTTTTATTTTCTTATGATAATTATATAATTTTATATTTGAGCATATAAATTGTTTTACATGTTTTAAAATGCTCAAAGACAAGCTCTAAATTATTAGAAAGTAAAATATATTAATGTTCTACAATCTTCATTAACACATAAATATATGTCTTATAGTTTAAGAGTTACTGCATTCTTAGTATCAAATTAAAAAAAAGGGTATAATCTTATCTTTGTACTCCGCTAAAAGAAATATGAACATTTGTAGTTAGTTACCATCATTTTATTGTCATTAACTTCACCCACAGTCATTGGCTTGATAACCTTGAAAAAAAAGGTAGGTACTTTGCCACATTTAAATCTTAAAATTCCAAGTGAACATACATTTCAGTTCTCATCTATCTCATCCGGTTTTATTTCCTTTTGCTAAGTCTTTAAACTCTTTGTCTCCGTCTTATCACTATTATATGAGTCCTTCGGCTATAGTTATATTATGCATAGCCATATGTATGCTTTTACTTAAGTCACTTTAGTTAATGTATAATTTTCTTCACGTTCATGTTCATGTTTAAAAAAAACATAGTAAAAGCGAACCTGAATGGTGGAATTGGTTATCTTTTCAAGAGAATAAACAGTGTTATATTATTAGCATATGAAAAACGCTACAATATCGTTTTAATAAATGTTATGTTTGCCAGAGCTATAATAGGGTAGCCACATACCATAACATTTTATAAATTTGTTATGTCAACAGTGTGTAACTTATGGTATGATTTTCTTTTTCATAACGCAGTTTAAATGCTATACTTATTTATTTTGCAGCTTTTTTTAGCTATTAATCATTTATTTTGTAGCTGTTTTTCTGGGTTATAATATAACATTTAATTACATTACTTTTAATCAAATATTTATATACATATTTTTTTATATAAATTAAAATTGTTCTGCAATAGATACTAAAGTTACTTTTTATTTCATGGAAAAAAATGAAGAACATAATAAGTCTTACAAACTCAACTCCAAAGTAAATCTGAAATAAAAACATAAGTACTACTCCTGTAGAACAAAACCAGCTTTCAATCTCTTCCAACATACTCTTTCTCTTCAGTCTTTGCACCTGTAATAAAAAAGAAACATTAGTGTCATACTAACATAATAGAGAAAAGGAGTAAGAAAAATGCAGTACGAGCTAGCCGTTTATGTGGACGATACCTTCGAACTCTCTCTTGATCTCTTCTGCCACACTTTGTGTCTTTCCAGCTGTTTTAAGACAGCAGAGTTGAATTTGATTCATAAAACAATATACAGGATAAGGAAAACAGAGAAAGAAGAGAGGAGAAGTTGTAACCTTGTTCTTCAACTTTGTCCCCGGTTTAATCATTCACCTTTAGTTTTTCAAGACTTTTTGTGGCAACTATGAGTAAGAAACGAAAAAAGAACACATGAACATATTCTTAAATTGTTATCAGAATATAAAAAACCATTTTTTCATGTAGATAATGGTATGTAACAAATCCCTTAGAATTCCTGTTCGATGATATCTTCAAGCGTACTTAGATTCTTTGCAGCTGTAACATGACATAGAGGCAGCTTCAGAGACAATGGATCATAGAACCCCATTCTCTTTGATGTGTTGTTTCAAGTTCTAAGACTAAAGTCGGAAAGTCTTTAAAGTTTATACATGGGTTCTGTGAGGAGTTGCTGATGGCATTGGAGGCTTGTAATTGGTAAGAGGTTGTTCTAAAATCTCACAAAACAGCAGGAACACACTGATTAGTTTCAAAGAATAATTTATTAGATAAATAAATATATGTGGAACTCTCTAATCCAAATTAATGAAAGCAGATATGCCAAGTTGCATCGAAAGAATTACCTTATACTCTGATTCTTTTGAACAACTGAATTGAACTCCAAAGATCTTTGTTGCAGTTCTAAGTCAAAGCTACGTGTGTTATGTCCTGTAATACTTTTTAACTCTCCTGAAAAGCCAATACAAAAAGCCATCACTGCCGATAATCAATTACAAGCCTCCAATGCGGGGATCTGAAAAGATTCTTATGCATGACTATTACCCAAAGTGGATACAGTCTACGATTGATTCTTATGCTCAGACTTTAAATGGGAACCTGTTTATAAATAGGAAGGTAACAATCGGTCATACCAGTGGTGATTGACTTGGTCTTGGAATCGATAAATTATATTGATTTCTGGAGATTTGTCATTTTATTTATCAAACTGCAAAGAGAAACATAACCTACAACAATAAGAACACGAACGGAACAAATAAACACTTCTCTCCTCACTATGTTCAGCTCCAAGGCACCTATGCAAAAATATAGACAAATCAAAGCAATAAATTTAAGATTTTGGTTTCAATGCAAAATGGAGGAACTCCCTTTACTTGGCAACAAAATGTCAACTGAAATGCCAATATAACTCATGCATATAAGCTGAAATTTGTGTAGAAAAACATCCATCAATGAACCCAGAGCTAGATAGTAGTATGCAGAAGTGTAATACTCATGCTAAGATCGAGTCCTATAACGAACTAATTTGAGACAGCATATCTATCCTCAAGTTAGCTGAGAAAAGAACGTATTGGTACAACTCTCGTAGCATTTTGTTTCACAAAACCACTCCCCTTTCAAAGTAGGTCGTTTGATATAAAACTCTAACATCAATAAAATAATTAAAAGACTTCATAACAGCAACTTTTTCATGCAACTTTTTCACTCATCTAACCGCATTCATTCGATTTACTGGAGGCTGTAAAGATGCAAAAACAAAATGAATTTAGTGGAGGTTAACTCTTTTAACTTACGATTTGATGGTTAGTCGCAAGACCGAATCTGATACCAATAATCTCTCCTTCTAGGATATCTGATGAAGATCCTGCCTCCTTGACAAAACCCTAAAAGTCGAAACCAGACAACAGTAAGGCTGCGTTAGAGCTTGGCAAATGACACAAACAGAGAAACGGAGACATTCGAGTTCAAGAGAAAACCCAGAGGTTTCAAAAGAGAAACCCAGTTTTGGAGAAAAGTTCAAGGAACAACTTTTCTGCTCGTTTCCACAAAATTGAAAGCAGTAAGCACACGAAAAAGGCCAAATTTCGTAAATTTCTAACTGAGAGAACTCTACATTTGAAACAACAAATGGCAGACGGTATGTACCTCGAGAATAAAAATAAAAGACATAACGTGACTTGAACATCAGATCATAGCCTAGTTAGCAGAAGATCATTATACATTTTCAACTCGTTTAATTTGCAATAGTTGCACCTCCTTTCCAACAGTTACTAAGACAAATCGGCTTCACAAAATGAATCAACTGAATATGGCATCCCTGGAAACCTTAAATCAAACTAAAAAAACATTTGTGGGAAAGTAGAAAGATCAATTTGAAAATCAGAGTCTTCTGTTGTTTTGAGGCTTGTTAACTGTAATTTAAAACTTATATGATTCTTTAAACAAACAAAAGTCGAAAATAGGAACAATTACCTCATTTTCTCTTGAAGCAATGGCTTCATTGTCGGAAAAACCTTGCAGCCATCCCAATTGTTCTGACATTGAGTTAGAATCTCTACCCCTTCACTCGGTCTCTGGAGATCTAGATTAAGCCACTAATACATCTCTTTAACTGTGTCTGTAATAACTTCATGTCAGACAATAAGAAACGCTTTGTTCTTTTATGTAACAGAAAAAGTAGTGTTATTCACAAAAGGAGAAACTTACCAACTGAGACAAAGTTGTGAGATCGTCACTTTCCTTGCATCATTCTAAGTGAAAATTGCGTTGGAATCATAGAGGAACAGAATCAGAATAATCTCAAAGCTATTGACAGACAAAAGCTTCACGGATTAGATATTTGATAGTTAAGATTTGAAGGATCAGTTTTGGTATCGTAAGATTCATGGTCTACGACCAAACTCTCTCTGTCTTCTGAAGAATTAACTGTGGCCGTGGCACATGATGAACGAAGAGAACTTCTAAAAGATTAGACTTTCAAACTCGAGCCCACGGAGAAGAATGGGT